TATAAATATTGATGTAAATGACATTGGTTTTGTTGGGATCCATGACCATGTTCTCTATCCTTGAACCGAGCTAAGACTAAGACTAAGAGTAAGAGTAAGATTGAGAGAACATCCCACACCATTCAACTTCAACATTCACATTGAACAGTTTCACTTACGTCTCTAAATCTGAGATCAATCCATTTTCGACGATGAACATGTCGGGAACCCAACAGTCTTGTAGTTTTAAAAACGCTCATTGTTAATACTGATATTGAACGCTGGTCTCTGTTCGTTTCATTTGAGAGAGACTAATGAGACAAAACTGGTAGCAAACTTACTTAGCAGATCGGCCAAGTTACGGCAAGGGTCATCATGCTTACTACTGTCGTAAAACGGCCCGCTCCCCAGATAACGCGAAACCATTAGTAAATAATATTATTTACCATTTGCGTTTTAACAAAATTAAATGTAAACATATTTTTGTTGGTGCCTTTATTTTTAATATATATTGTTTTTAGTTTTTGTCATGTAACTATTTATTTTTAATATTATATTCTGTTAAAAAATTGCGACAGATGACGCGACATGACGACATAGTGCTTCAGACACGTCAGAATCTACAAGTTACAACTACCAGCTCAGTTACAACAGAACAGTAATTACATCAATCTGAAGTAAAATTAAACACGAAAATTAACATTTTTAGCCGTACATAGTGCACGTATTTTATTGCACTCATATATTTGTTAGGCTTTTGTAAATAAAATAAATATACAAAACTATTACAAAAACCGCTGCGGCATTCTGGGAAAACGTTCCGGTTTGTTGACATGCTATGTCTTACTAAATTGTGTTACATTTATCATGTAATCTACTTTATGCGTCGTGTAACGTTTTAACCTGATTGTTGATACATACATAGTTTGGTAATGCAGTACGTATCTCGAAGATAGTGTCTACAGTTCGTATTATTCCAAATATAACTCATGTGACTATGGAAAAAGGTAAGCCGCAAGTGCGAAAATTCCACACAACTTCACAAACATTGAACCTCACGTGTTGCGCGCCAACGTCGCAACTTGATGTTTTGCAATGAAAATGACTGCAGCCCAGTCTGGTTCAAGGATAGAGATGATGTCCAGATTGAGACCTATGTCATTTTCGTAAATGTGGGGATGGGAGGTTAACCCCTATTACAATACGACAGGTTGTTTCTTGAAGTGTTCTTTTGTTCATTCGACTGAAACAATTATGTACTTTACAGGAAGTGTGGAAAAAAACTGCTTTAAGGCGACACTACTCTAGTACTTAGTACTAACACTACTATCTACCCAGTTCTCCACTGTTTCTGGACCATTGGCTCAGCGCAAGATTTCACCATGATGTTCCTGGCTACGGCCCTCAAGCTGTATCTACGTATTGCGCGCGCCATTTAAGCGCACCTGATACACTGTGCTCTCCGCAGTAAATTACCTTGAAAATGTCGTTGATATTCGAGCGGTTTTCGAAGTCATAAATGAAATAAGAAACAGTTGGCCATTGCTGTTCACTGTTGCCTACTGCCCTCTCGCGGCCATGTGGTGATGTATGTGAATTCGCCCCCTCTTCCAGCTGCAGCTTGCTGCGCACATCTGTGTCGCTGGGTGCGCGTAAGGGGTAGACTGGTACACACCTCGATTACTGATCGAGTAACTAGGCCGAGAGGTGCGACCGGGTACCAGTCTAGCGTCGGGGGGGGGGGGGGGTCCATACAGGGTTCCTAGGGTTCCTACTCCTAGGTTCTAAGCGGAACCTAGGGTTTGCATTAGGGTTAGGGTTAGGGTTCGGATTAGAGTTAGGGTTCGGGTTAGGGTCAGGGTATTAGGCAGGAATATTTTAAATTTTTTAAAATTTTTAACTTTTTTACATTTGTAAATTTTAAACCTTTTCAATTTCTTTGGCTGTTCAGTTTCAAAACGGACCGTGCAAATCTCGGCTGCACGGCTCGCTGGCTAATACGCATACACACACGACATACATACTCACACAGTCTTGCACATACAAACAGACATGCATATACACACACACACACACACACATACACACACAACACACACACACACACACACACCACACAACACACACACACATACATACGCACACATATAGACACCTAATTTATGCATTCGACTCATTCCCCCCCCCTCGCGCTGCCGCTAGCTGGTTGTCACGTGCCTTGCTCTTACTCGCGTAGACTACAGCAAACACGCACCTGTATCATGAGTTCCTTCAGTAACAGTACTGTAATAGCTGATTCATTCATGCCATACACGTAATAATGTCTGCGAGTGGCTCCGTAGCAACCCGACATCCCTATTAAAGAATAACTAGTCCCATACAAACTCATTTACGTTATCGGCCGCGCGCGCAAATGTTTCAACATTCACCCGTAGGTACGCGCGGTGCGACGCCCGATACTATTTTTGCATGTATTCCACGCTGCAGCGTGCGCGCGATAGCAAAAACGTGCTGTTCTGCCTACCTAGGGTGGAGGCACGCACTACTCATTGCTGTCTCTGATTGCCACTTGGCAAAAAAAACGTCTGACTGCACTGCTCCAAGTCCGCATGTTCCCAACTCGCTGCGCCCCATCGGTGCATCGTGTGGCGGCAATCAGTCGGAGAGGTATATGTTTTTACATATAATATTATATATATATATATATATATACCTAGATATCTATACACAAGACATGTACAACACCAGCCTAATCTACTTCCCAATATGTATATATATATCCGCATGTCTATGTCTACGTTTCAGTATAATACATACGCCAGAGCGTTTTATATGTTTTCTCCGACTGCCAGCGCTATATATATATCGACACACGCACGCTGATATAAGGCTCTATATACTTAATATGTAATACATCTGCATCTCAAAGTGTGTCCTAGTCGCTATGTCTATATATACGTCATTGCTAAGTACACAGTCGCCAGTCGCTGGGTTGTTTCTGTATATATGCAGTATATATGTACATATATACATATATAAATATATATATATTTATATATATATATTTATCTACATGTGTACATATTTCTCTCTATCCCTGCACATAGTGTATATGTATGTAGCATATATATATATATATGATATATATATATATGCAGTGCTCGAATAAGAAAAAAAATGTGGTTGCCTGCGGACAACCCAAGCGATCAAATCAGGTTGTCGCCAGTAATTTCTGGTTGTCCCAAAAAATATCCCAAATCTCCTATTTTCAATCACATAATGATATGGTCATAAAAAATACAGAACAGAAACACCAAAAAACAGTGGTGTGGTAATATTTTTAACAAGGGGCCAAAAACAGCAAACTGCGCAAATAGTGGATGACTTAATATTTTAATGGCTCCTCGGCCTCCCTATCCACACCCTACGGCTCCTCTACCTTCTCTGGCAATCTTTGTTTTGGGTGCATGCGAAAATGCGACAATTTTTGTTCATGTGTTCTCTGCTACCAAGAATGTTAATTGTTCAGTGGCGAATCTAGATTCCAAGGAGGGGGTGAAAACAAGGGCGGGTGGTATGGGGGTCCTCCCCCCAGAAAATTATGAAATGTAGATCGCAGGAGATGGTATTTGCGGCACTTTTGATACATGTACAGCCTTCATTCTGACTACGACAATTCTTCTTTTTTTTTAACTTTCGTCAACATGAATCCCCAGTGTTGTTTTGTTTTGCATGGCAAAGCCATCAAAAAATTCAATAATAATGAAATAAAAATACCAAAATGTAGGGGTGACTTGCTGGTTTGCGGTTCAATATCGAGTTTCACCGTCTCATAAATCAGAAAACCTGACATAACAGTGTGGAAATAGCAGATGATATATGCGTCGCTTTCGCACACCATAGATTAATGGCAGGCCGCAGGCTATAAGTGCTCTTGGAAACCCCTGAGAAAACATAAACAAAGTGCGTTTTTCGTCACATTTTACTTGGTTGTCCACCGGAACAATGTCCAGACTGTTAGAGGTTGTCCGGTGCAAATTCATGGTTGTCTCGGACGAACCGCACAAGCTTATTCGAGCACTGTATTTATGTCTTTTCATATTGTGATAATACTATCATACTAACCAGGAAGTAGATTATAGGGAAGGGAGTGCTTGACTTCCAATAAAGAAAGAAATCGTCATTACTACGCTTTGGAATATCCTACGATATGTACTGACGCGTAACTCAACCAACCTGAGCTGCAATCGTACACCGAGTGAAAAAAAAAAAGAAAAAAAAAAAAAAAAAAAAAACATTTGGCCTAGGCATCGTACGACAAATACAGACCTAAAAACGTACGAACACGATCTATCCGTTCTGGTTGCCATCAATCCGTACGTATTGTCCACCTGACTTGAAACAAAAGGCAGCTACTAACGCTCGGCAATGCGGTGTGGCTCACTGGGAGATTGCAGCTGGAGCTGCTGCTGATTGCGGTGGGCGTGCGTGCGTGGGGGCATACCAGCTGT